GTAATCACTTAGATACATTAACATTATTAGTTATATAAAATATGTTACTATCTCTAACGACGTGATTAGATATTAGACTAAACGGTTGGATATATAAAAGAAGATTTTCTACTTAGCTACATTCATGACTATCTTATATTTATTACAGAACCACCGCAATGTTAATGGTAATGTACAAATACAAGATAAATGGCAACAACAACGGAACAAGCCTAGTTGTAACTGGCCTAGCTATTTCTAAAGGCGTTATAAACAGTCTAAAGTATGACAACTTTTTGATTTTTTGTAATGTGTTCTGACTTTTTGTTACACTTTTTAAGCAATAACTACCACAGCAACAACCACTCTTGCTCTGTGATTGTTGCCCTTTTTTCTTCCAACGTGGATCCTAGATTGCTCCAGCATAAAATGAAAGTGAACTTTTTGTGGCTTAGATCAAAACATCAAAACAAGATTCAAATGAATAAACTTCTTATTGTTTGGGTAATTATAAATAATGCAGTTTGCAGATAGTTTCATCAAATACCATTTGAGATTTGATCCATGTTGTGAGAACAAGGAAATGGGAGCCACGAGAGATTGTTGACATTTGTGAGCTGAAATCTTGTTATGCAGTTAATGCAGAAAACATTAGTTTGAAATGGGAAGATATTCTGATATTCTTGTTCTAGCTAGGCAGCTTCATATTTGGTTTGAAATTTTGAATTGCAATGTCAAGTTAAAGCACGCCAATAAGTACTAAGCACTAGGCAGAGAGTAAATACCATGAAAGGAGTAACGTGACTGATAAGTTACGTACTTGTAGTTTAGTACAGTGCCCGATCAATGAACTTGTGGCCGGTCCAGCTTTCCGGGAGCAATTTCAATAGGATAACAAAAAAAAGGTTGCCTATTCTTCTTTTTTTAGGTAGTTTAATTAGTTTTTTTAAAGAAAAATGTACGATATTTACCAAATCATCTCCTGTGTAATTAGTTAAAATACAAACCCAAATATTATATAGGTAGAGTTGGTATAAAAGAAAAATCATCTGATATACCATATGGCATCACTTAATAAAGGTACATGTATTAGATTTAAGGAAAATTTTTGAAATGTCATATGAACTTGTACACATTTTTTAATTTGTCATATAAACGAAAATTTTAATTAATATGTCATACCAACTTTCTGAAATCATCAATTTGTTATCTCACTCTAACTCCATTAAGTTTTACGTTCAAAATAAGTAATGTGCGAGTCACATGACTTGTGTTCTAGGTTATTTCTGTCATTTAAGATCTTTTTACAAGTTCTTTACTTTTCTTTAGTAAAGCTCTTAAATTTTGTGCTTGAGAGTATTCATGTGGATCGTTGACAATTCCATTTCTGGCACTGAACCTCAACTCGTTTCTTATATAAGAGCACGTATTCATGTGGATCGTTGAAAATTGAAAAATAAGTACAAGTTCATATGACATTTCAAAAAATTTCCATTAGATTTACTAATATAATAGCACGTATACAATTACAATCCTTATACCACATATTGAATTTGGATATTTAAAAAATAGGGATTAATTGTGGGACCCGCTCCACATCAAACATCAACGATTCGAATCATTTATTTTATAAGTCTCGATTCATAGATCATATTTTCAAAAATTCAATTTGTGACATCCCACATCGCCCAAGGGAGTGATCCTTAAATGTATATTCTCATCCCTACCTAGCACGAGGCCTTTTGGGAGCTCACTGGCTTCGAGTTCCGTAGGAACTCCGAAGTTAAGCGAGAAGGGGGCTAGAGCAATCCCATGATGGGTGACCCACTGGGAAGTTGCTCGTGAGTTCCCAAAAACAAAACCGTGAGGGAATGGTAAGTCTAAAGCGGACAATATCGTGCTACGGTGGTGGAGCGGGCCCGGGAAGTCATCCGCCCCGGGCCGGGATGTGACAATTTGGTATTAGAGCCTAACCCTGGTCGCATGTGTGCCAACGAGGACGTCAGGCCCCTAAGGGGGGTGGATTGTGACATCCCACATCACCCAGGGGAGTGATCCTTAAATGTATATTCTCATCCCTACCTAGCACGAGACATTTTGGGAGCTCACTGGCTTCGGCTTCCGTAGGAACTCCGAAGTTAAGCAAGAAGGGGCCTAAAGCAATCCCATGATGGGTGACCCACTAGGAAGTTGCTCGTGAGTTCCCAAAAACAAAACTGTGAAGGAATGGTAAGCCCAAATAGGACAATATTGTGCTACGGTGGTGGAGCAGGCCCGGGAAGTGATCCGCCCCGAGCTGGGATGTGACATTATTCAATTCAAAACTATTTAAATTTTTAATTGTCACAATGAAATTACAATGTTTCTTAGAACATAGTGTTCGTCAATTTCTTTCTTTGAACTCAATTAGATGCCTCAAATATTTCAATCAAACATTAACGATCCGAACCGTTTATTTTGTAAGTTTCGATTCATAGATCATATTTTCAAAATTCAATTCAATTCAAAACCATTTACATTTCTAATTGTCAAAATGAAATTTCAATGTTTCTTAGAACATAGTGTTCATCGATTTCTTTGAACTCAAATAGATGCCTCATATATTTTGATTTGACTAACATTTTGCAAGAATGATCTATGAGGTGCAATAGACGGTTCAGATCGTTGAAGTTCAATGTAGAGTGAGTCCCACAACTAATCCTCATTTTTTGAAGAAAATGAAGATCCCTTCTCAAGGCTCTGTAGAATTAAATACATATACAATTATTATAACTTTGGTATACGTCGTGCGTCACAACAATTGTCACGCAATATATGCAATAATTTCTTGGCATAAAACACAAATGGCTCATCTTTAGCATGTCAAACATGTTTTAACACGCATTGTTTGTTAAAAAAAAAATGCATTGTATCATTTTCTACTCAATTATATCATTTTAAGTCAATAGCTTTTTCCTTGACATATAGTTAGTCAATGAAAATGGTATTGGCAACTTGGCATGGCATGGCTTATAATATGGTGGCAATATTTTCCGTCCAGTAAGATGCTAATCTTATTGTCCTTTTGCCCATGGATCTTGGTTTGATTTGATTGTCAATTCGATGCTATATACACATTACGGTACGATCAGGTGTAGTCACTAACTAAGATGAGCTTTAAGCCTTTAACTCCTCTTCTTGTTACGTACACACTATTTCACCTTCTTTTTAATTTTGGTTGTTAATTTGTTTAATTTAATTAATACAAAAAAGTGCGAAAAAAGGATACAAAAATCATTCTCCCTATGAAAACTGCATTTTATATATGTAATTGATATCCAACGAGTCGTTTATGTATTTCTTGCGTTAAATAGAATGATATATCGATCGTATACCTTTTCCTTTTTCACTTGGACAGTTTTCTGTCGTGAGAAATGTTTTGTATTGTACACCAAGGAAAAACACTCTTTTTTGTTTTGTCTATTACTCAACTTTATGCTACATCTAAGGTTTGAAAGTCATTCCCCAATTCTCATATTCATACTCCAATTCGAAAATCAAAAACCTAAATTTTGAAAGCGAGAGGGAGTGAGTTGCAGAGAGATATAGAGAGGGGAGAGAGATGGACATTGACGGTCAAATCGAGATATTGTTGAGAATTGATGGAGATCTACCTCGACGACTGAAACGAAAGGGGGTTTTCGTCGAGTTGTAGGCAGACGAAAAGAGAGAGGTGGTCGACGACTATCTGATAGAGGAATGGGTGGTGGAGGGTCGAGCGGGAGGGACTGTTTGGGTGCAAGCTGTGGGTGGAAGATGAATTTGGTGGGACTGGGAGATGAATTTGACGGTGCAGTGTTGCCTGTAAAGATGAATTTGGAGGTGTGGTGTGGTCTGTGTTGTGGTGTGGAGTCGTCGGAGAAGAAACAGAGGAAGAGGATCAGAGTCGTGAGAGAGCGTCAGAGTCGTCAAGAAAGTGCTTGGTCGTCTGGGAATGTTCTGGATGGCGAGAGATTTTTCAATGTGACCGTCACACAAGATGGTACATTACGTGTCGTTATATAAATTATGGGATATGTGTGTTAAAAAGTTAATAAGTTAAAAAATAAAATTTCTCATCACTTACATAAAAACACGTGGTATACCACCTATGTTCTCTTCATAACTAAAAATTTCTCTAGGATGGGAGAGATTCATATATTTATAAACGGTTGAGTTCTAATCGCAATCATATCTAACGGCCAACTATATTTCAAATACATATAAAAATTTATATAAGGTTCGGTTGGGTATTCAACATAAGCATTTGTTTAACTAAACACCGTTCCCTTCAATTTACCCACCAAAAAGTGGTTGTGTCTTAAATAAATTCATTCGTCACTGCAGGGCTTTTTGCTATGCATGAAGCAAGCAAGAAGTGATGTGGAGAAGTCACATGGTACATGAACTATGCATAACCAAATTTAAGCAGTGCATGGGGGCTATGTCTTCAGCCAAATCACCAAGATAGAAAATCAAGGTGCCATTATTTAAAGACATCACATGCACTGCGGGGTCTTGTATGTGTGGGGTTTAACGTAATCCAGCCGACATCCCATATTGCCATGCATGGTTGGCATTTTGCGCGATTTCTTGGCATTTTATTTATAAGGTTGGCTATAGTACATGTATTTATTTAATACGTTTATTATCTAACGGTCGAATATATACTAAAGAATTTTCTTACCACAAAAAACGTATATATGTTCTACATCCCCATAACTTATACATTCCGACTAAAAATACTCTAACGAACGAATATTACTGCCAAAAATATCATAGTCGACATGATATAATAAGGACCAATTTTCCCATAAGTTTGCATTGGGGTGGTGGGAGTGGGGTTATTAGAAGGAGGGTCGTGGGAGTTTGGATCGAAGTATAGAAATCGGAGTGAGGTGAGGTGTAGGGATTTGTACGAAACATGTGAAAGACAAGTTGAGGGGTCAAAGCCATTTGGAGGTTAAATTATAGTCGTCGCGTGTTTGTTTGCGCATATAAAATTAAGGCAATCGTTGATATATTATTTTTTTTATTAATAAATAAAATTAGACAAAATAACAACAATACGTGTCACAAAACGCAAAAGATCATCGAGCATATATAGGAGTTCCAACCAGGCAACACAAAAATTAATAACTCGTAAGAACATCTCCAAAACAAAAGAGATGTTAAATAATCTAACAAAAGTTACAACAAGCCCCAAATCAGCACTAACCCTAAAACACCTACACCAAAATATGAGATCAACACCATCACAGACGCCACCTGAACACAGTGGATAAATCTACACCTTAATACAATACAACGCCAGATTAAGGCCCAACCAACAAAATCAAGCTGATCTGGCTCAAAACGAAAGGAAAAGATCAAGTCTCAGAGGTAGATATGCGATTACCTCGAGCCTCAGCCAGCGATTCGCAGCCCTTTATTGAAAAGCACCGTACAGAGATTACCGAAGAGGAAAATGCGATGAGGGCTTGGAAATGCAAAAACATGGACGAAGGAAGGAGGAATGACAACCTGAGATGAGGATACAAAGTACTGTGCTCAAAGAACCTGAGATGCAAAAACGGACGAAGGAAGGAGGAAAGAGAAAATGGAGGAGAGAAGAAAACAATAAAAAATTAATAAAAAAAGGTTGAATAATTAATTAAAAAACGTTTGAAGCAGCTGTCAAATTTGAAAGTAAGAGGTAAAGATGTTATTCTATATCATGTTATGTTAGATTTGGCTTTTCGCTTGGAAAACATTGCTGCTATCTTTTATTATCGTTATTACTGATTTGAACATTTTGATATCTTCTTTAGATATGTTCCAACAAAACAAAAAATATACCATTATATACTAAACCCTGTGGCTGTCGTGGCTGACATGCGAGTGCTATACAGATGGGTTGATAAGGAGAGATCCCCTTCCTGGAATCTAGGGATCAACGAACATGGATCGTTGATAAAAAATTGTAGGGTCTTAATTAAATGTTTTTTATATTTTTTAAAATAAAGCATCATCGTTTTGCACGAAAAATTAAAAAAATAAAAAAATTATGATTGCTCGATTTTTTATTAACGATCCGTGTTCATTGATCCTTAAAATCCTCATAAAAGGGATTCAACGAGGATCCAAATCCGGGTTGATAAAATCATAAGACCCAGAAAAGCCTCCCAAGTGGAGGGCCTCCATGATTAACATTATTTATTAACACAATAATTATCTTTTAACAAATGACAAACAACACTCATAAATTCCACAAAAACGCGTTTTAAGCTATTTCGTTGGCCTCTTTGACATCAACGTACGCAGCAGCAGCAGCTGCCCTCACTAATTAATCATTCCTCTAATATATAAGAGAAATGTAAAGGACACTTTCTCAGAGAGAAACTGATTATAGATTTTTTGTCATCTCACAGTTTTACGTTAATTCTCATAATTATAAAATATTGTACAAAGAACATGAGATGGTCCATGGAGAGTCTTACTTTTAAGAAAAAAAATTTAGCATTACTGTATATACAAATATATAATGGAAACACATTACAAACATTATTAATTTATATACAACTAATGTAATTACATTGATGTTCCTGTTGGGGCTGATTATTTTTTCGATTAGAGAAATACTAAGCAGATTTTTTCATAGTGAGATTTTTTATAAACTCTCCACTATCTCATACCAAAAACATAAAATTACGAAGAGTTCATAAAAGTCTCATTTTTGAGAGAGCCTCTTGGTATTTCCCTTTTATGCTAAGTCAAATGGTTGATGATTTGCAAAGGTGGAAACACACCGAGACTTCATGTGAAACGTTTTGACCTAAACACTTCCAATTAATTATTATTATTATTATTATTCTTTCCCAATGACACTAATTAATTAAAATCCTTAGAGTCAAACCGGGGATCAAGATCCACTATAAGTAAGATCTACTTAGGGTTGGTACTTAACCATAAACCTGTACGTGAATGCCATTATATTATGACCCACTACGCATACAAGTCTACAAGATTTACGCTTCTGGTTGTTTTTTCTTTTCATTTTTTATCGTTTTGGTAGGAAAAGATGGATCTTCATTTAAGAAGAAAAACAATGGGTAATCATTCATCTGGGAAGGGGACTTTTGTATTTCAAACGCATTTATTACTTGGCAAAATTATACACTAGTGTAATGCGTGTTTAATATTGAAAGTGGTTAAGGTAGTGTTAGTGTCCCTTTTTTGCATTACACAATCAATGTATTCGTTTTACTATGAGTAAGGTTAGAGTATTCCTCCACTTGTATAAAAACATATTCCGTATTATGAGCACACTGAAAAAATTTCTATGACATGTCTTCTATTAATTGCATTGTTTTGGGAGTTCAAATTGGCTCATTAAAGATGAGGAGCCAAACACTTCATAGCCGGTTTTTCAAAACTCTTCTAATTATGGTCGGAATCCTTAAATATGATTATATCTGCAAAAATCAATAAAATATGATACTATTCGAATTGTATGACAACAATTGATCAGAATCAGTAAAAGTATTACAAACTGACTATTTATTTGCTACAATTATTTAACTAAACGATCTTAATTTTAATTGATTTTTTGCTAAAATGATTTATACAGAACACTTGGTATTAGGCATGATTTTGATCACAAATATAAAGTTCTTTAATCTGCCATAAAGTGTTTTGATGAGGAATTCCTCCTCATCTTTTGAGGAGCCAAATATTCCTCTTGTTTGAGAGGAAGAGTATGTTGACCCATAATATGAAAACTTACCACACTTTATGAGCTCGATTGAATTCAAATTGGGACTGCTAATTGAAAAAATCCAAACATGTTCTCGAATTGAGACCATGAATTTAAATAGGACTCTCAAGCACAAACTCAAATCAAATCCTCAAACCCAAAATTTTGGCAATATTTATTTGATTGATACTGATTAATGGTGAGTTGCTAGACTGACTCTAAAATTTTGGCAATATTTATCTAATTGATATTGAAAAAGTGTCCATATATATATATATTTTTTTTTTTTTTTTTTGAGAAAGAAAAAAGTGTCTATATTGAATTCTCCTCATTATTTATGGAGAAAAAATTAAGGGAAAAAACATTCATGCGCTCTAATGGTGAAAAGAAGTGTTGTCCTTGCACTATGTGTAGGTTCAAACTCGTTGATTTTCTAATCTAATAAATCTATCGTTCGACAAAAAAAAAAAAAAAAGGAGGGATCTAAAAGAAATTTCATTCCTTGTACTTTTGCTTATAACAAGAGATTAATTGTTAGTCAAAATGGTAATTATATTTCAATGTTCAAAGAGAAAATTTAATATTCCTCATGTCGAATCGTATCATATCAGAAATTTCTTTCCTCTTGGTGAGGATCCTGGATATTTGTGAATCGTATTCGTTTATCGTACATCGTGCGATTAGTTTTTGACAAGTGATGCTTGTATTTAATTTTAAATATAAATATTTAAAATAATTTCTAATCGCACAATATATAATGAACGAACACAATTCATGAATTTTTGGAATCCTCACAAACAAGATGCGAATCCGGATTCATGAAAACCTCCCAAATTAATTTAGGCATATATCTATATCCAAAAAATAGTGGTATGAATTCATGAGGAATTTGAGTGGCGACAGAACAACCCCACCTTGGCAGGGCGCAGCCTCGTAGGGTGAAATTGTTGAGACTTGAGATCTTGGTGCGGAGGCAAAGCATGCAGATGGTGTTCTCAGTCTCAGCTCTGAAAATTTTAAATGGGACAACGACAAGGGTCCCAATATTTCTGCCATGCCATGACCCATAAGGAATTTAACGATTAAGGATTGAGAGACCAAGGTGGAAAGTGGCCAGCTCATATTACCCTCCTACTTTCTCCATTTTTTCTTAATTGCGTCATAATTACTGAGTCATGACATCCGCTGTGCTAAACGTGTGGAACAATGTATATGTAGGGTTCGAGAATGGACTGGTGCCGTGGATGCGGGTTAATATTATAAATTGGTGGACAAGGATTGTCAGCCCTTCCACTTCCGATACTCTTTGTGTCTTTCTGTTTTGTGTGGTCACGGTTAAGTCACGTTAACATTTTTTTTATTTTTATAAAGATAATAAGACAAAAATGAATAGTAATATAAAATGTTGACGTGACTTAACCATGACTACACCAACAGGATGGTGGAAAATACTTGTCCTAAATTGGTAATTGGATGGTAAAAGGAAACCAAAATTTTAACCTAGCTTGATCATGAACTATACTTTGTTCCGTCTATATAAAGATTTTTCCTTGTTCACTAATAAATGAATAAATTAACGAGTAATGCTACAGTTATCATATTTTTTATTCTACATTTGTATCATATTTATGATAAAAGTAGGATCCACAAACATATATGGGTTTCATCTTTATTAAAAAAAAAAAGTACAATGTTGTATGAAAAATGTGATAAGAATAATATTTTTGACACTAAGTATCCACTTGGGCCTAGGCTATCAGTCTACATGTCAATATCACACCATATAAATGAAGGATACAAATTATAATGCTTGTTTTTGACACATTTGAGTAGTTTGAAACGATTTATTTGTACATTGACAGTGATACTATGATTATACCACTTCGGTTGGAAGTGTTTTTAGAATAATTAAAAACGTTTTGGCTAAAGTGTTTTTACAATCAATCCTCAATAAAATACAAGTTAAAAAATAAAATAAAATAAAATATATAAAAAAAAAACACTAGAAGTGCTTCTTGCAAAAAGCTCATAACTAAGTGCTCGTTTGGATGTGCTTTTAATGTGACTGAAAACACTTTTGGTGAAAATCTTTTTTGAAACAATCCTTAGTAAAAATGTTAACAAATCCTGGAAAGACACTTAAGGTACTTCATTTCATGGCAGAAGCACATAACTGGTGCTTCTTGTAGAAAGCACTTATAGTGCTTTTGGAACCCAATAACATTTTCTCTAAGAGCATTTTCAATTATTTTAAAAATACATTTCCAAACGAGCCCTAATTCTTCTTGCAAAAGTCATTTCAAGTCTTTTTGGAACCAAAATACACTTTCGTCAGGTTTAGCTAGGCCCTTCCCAAAACTTGAGTAACTCTACATTCTTATCAAAGAAGCTCTCAATGTTAAAAATTAAAAAAATAAATAAATAAATAAATGCCAATCAAATGGCTAGATATAATTTTGTTTCGTAAGTCTTTTGCAAGAAGGAGTGTAAAAAAAACTCAAAAATGTTTCACCACGTCCATTTTTTTTTTTATAAAAATAAAGAAAGTTTAGGTAAAACTAGCTCTTAGTTAATGGTCGTGTGTAAGATAACGACTCATTCATTGAAGGAAATATATCCACTCATCTCCTCTTTACAAATTTTATTAATAATAAATATAAATAGGAGGACCAAGCCAAAACTCATACAACAATATATAGCATTGAAATCTGTAAGTAGAACAAAAAAAAAAAAAAAAAATCTCGACTATGGGTAGAAGCTGTAAAAACTGAGATCATTGACCATCAATGATAAGCACTGCAAATCCATACAATACAAATCTAACAAATCAACAACATGTTTACCTTTCAATAACTATGTGTGCAAATACTACTAATGAAGATGTCATAAGTAGTCGTTTTAGTCATTCAGTAAATAAGCAAAGCATAATAAAACTTTTTTGGCAGTGTACCCATGTTATATTAGTTATTCTCCACTCGTTTCCTCAAGCTACACATACTACCTTAGTAAAAACTAGAATTTCACCACGTCGATTGATATCATATTTATTTAATTTCATTTTTTTTAAAAATGAGAAACATTACAAACTAAATTCTACTACCATACAATCAAATAAT